CTACGATCTGCCATCTCTGGAATTATGCAAGTTATTGAGCACCATGTTTTAATTCGGGATGTTTTTAAGATTTATTATATGTTTTTAAATCATTATGTATATTATGTTTTATTATGGCAAGGTTTTGCCTTGCCTCTGTAAGCCGCCCTGAGCCTATCGGGGAGGGCGGGGTATAAATGCGAAAAATAAATTAATAAATAATATCAGGACTGTAGAAAAGAAATCTACAATGAAAAAAATCTGTGGGAATAATTCAACTATAATTAGACATTCTGGGTTTAATTTTTTTTTAAAAAATCTGGTTTTAAAAAATTGATAGGCTTATCCTTGCTCCAGTAAAGACTGATACAAGAATGAATATCTGATATTTCTAGAGTACAGGAAAATACAAAATTTCAATAATTGACACCCCTGAATTCATAATTCTTCCAAGCCTCAAAAGCAGGGCTCTAGTTGGGGGGGAGCTCTCAGGTACGGAGCTCCGGAAGAGAACATCTAGGGGGCGGGGCGGTCACGTGGTGAAGCCCCGCCCCCTTCTTTACCCCGCCCTCTGCTTCGATCCTCATTCCGTTTGGGAATGAGGATGAAGCAGGAGGGTAAGTAGCCGGGCCTTCTGACACACTTCCGGTGATGTCAGGGGGTGTGGCCTTCTGTCACTTCCGGTGATGTCAGGGGGCGTGGCATATGCAAATAAGTTATGCTAATGAGTTATGCTAATGAGCTCCGGCAGCTCTTTTTCTACAACAAGACCCCTGCTCAAAAGTAAATGCTTAATGCTAATGGCCTAAAATTTGTCTGGATACTCTTAGTTAACAAGAATTCTCCTTACACTTGCTCCCAGCGATTAGCAGAAAACAGTAGATGCACTGTGTGGTCCTCCAAGTTGTTTTTCTTTTCCAAGTAGGAACTTATCAGCCGTCCAATTTCTGTTGTTCTTTCTGCAATAAAAAGTAAAGTCAAACCTCTATAAATCCTGTTTTCTTTCCCAAACAGACACATTTGTAAACAATGGCCTATATCCAGACACACAGTTTCAACGAAAAGTTAAGGACCCTTAAGTCTTATGAGGGGGCAGCCATTCCAACCAATTCCAGTTTTTCCTACTGTGGATGACCACTTTGCCCCCTTATGGTATTCCTAAACTCCACTGACCCACAGGAACAATGCAGATCTTGAAGTACATGAACTTTCTGATGCACTTTTTGATGGTGTTCAGCTGATCCATGCTGACTCAGTTAAGATCCTAGGGGTCATATTGGATCCACAATTACTCCTGGAGGAGCAAGTTAATGCAGCTGCAAAAAACTTTCTCCCAACTCAGTTTAGTCTAACTCAGTTTAGATTGGGCTGATCTGGCCACTTAGATCCACGATTGACACTAGATTAATGTAGTGCACTATACATGGTTCTCCTCTCAAAGTCGACTCGGAGACTCCAGCTGGAGCAGAATGCTGCAGCTCAGTGGAGCATGCATATTACTCCTGTTCTAGTCATTCCATGTGCTATTCATCAGTTACTAAGTTCAATTCAAGGTACTGACTATCACATGCAAAGCCCTTCATGGCCTTGGACCCTAATATCTGCAAGACTCCCTCTCCCCCTCTGTTACACCATGTCAGCTTTGCTCATCTGAGTAGGGCCTTCTGCAGGTACCACTGTACAAATAGGCAAGATCAACTGCCCACACACATCCATTCTCTATTGTAGCCCCCACCTTAGGGGATGATAAAATCAAGAAGGCTCTCACTCTTCTGGGATTCTGCAAATTTTGCAAAACTGAATAATTTAGGAAGCTTTGCACATAAAATGTTGAATAGCATATTATTAAGAAGGGTGAATTCTTGCCAGACTTGCAGTTTCATACTACGGTTTCAAAGAGACACAAAGGAATGAAGAGGTGGGGGGTGGCGGCACTCAGAAGACAACTGCAATGTTCACATATGTATCCCAATCCTCAGATGTGATGTCAAGGGAAGTATAAGGCTCCGGGTTTCTTAGTGTGACACCACTAAACCCAAAGCTGTTTAAAACCTAGGACCGGTATCCACAAAACACATTAGAGCGGCCACCTTTCCTCTTCGCTGTCAAGATTCCTCTATTCGCATCTCCATGATAAGCAGAAACTCGGTAAGTGAAAGTCCGCCCCCCCCCCCCTCCTCAAGTGCTAGGAATATGGTCAGCCTACCACCCAGCTGTTCCAGGCAACTACTACTTCTATACAACAATTCCAACTGGCCAGGACAGGCAAAGACAAGCTTCAATTCTGCAGTCGCCCCTGTAGCCCACACATACCCGGGAACCTGAGAAGCTCGGCCTGGTGCCCCCCTGCCTGCAGGGCCTCCACCAGCCTCCGGCTCTGCGTGCTTTTGCCGGCTCGGTCCACTCCTTCCAACACGATCAGCGCCCCTCGTCTGCCGGCCATGACGCACCTCAGTTTCCACCCGAGAAGCAAGAGAGCGGGAAATCAACCGGAGCAACCTCCCGCACTTGGACGCGGCCATAGAAAGCGGTCCTCCCGGCAACTAGAGCGGTCATGGTGTTACCATGGTGACCAAAGCGTAGAAGAAGCCGCTGAAGGCACGCAGGCCGACCCAGCATGATTTCTGGAAACAGTGGGAGGGGCGGGCTTTTTCTCCCCTCGCGATAGAAGAGCGAAACATCGAGGCGGTGCGGCGAGAGTGGAGGAAAGTCTAGCGTTTTTACTTGAATTAAGGCGCCGGGCACTACTTCCACTATAGTCTGTTGCTAATCAGGCCGAAATCAGTCCTTATCTTAATCTCACCTAAGCATATTTCGCTGTGAACGGCAACCTAAAGAACTCTGCCTACTTATCTGGGCATAAGCCCCATTGAATTTATGTGTGGTGGAATGTGCTGCTAAACCACGGAAGGTAATTTTTCAGACAGCTGGAGATGGTATTTGAAAAGTTCCCCACACACCAGTGGGCGTCTTGCAGGTTAATGTGTGGCTTCTGACAGTATCTGAAAAAAAATCAAGATTAGCTTTCGGAAATTGCGTGTACCTTTTTAGTGTGATTTTCATGGGCATCTAACTGGATCTGACAAGGAATACTGGCATACTGAAAGTTCTGACATTTTTTAAAAAACTGCTGATTATGTGAAATCCCTTTCAAAAGTTAAGTAAAAGTTTTCTGACCAGAACCTGTAGGCTGCAATTTCAACACTCCGGTGATTCCGCTAGTTTGTAGCCGAATACACATGAAACTGCTTTTCTTGGGGAAAACCACCTTGCCCTGTCAAGCTCAGTATTGTCTATGCTGGCCGGCAGCAGCTTTTCCACTTCTCAGATCTTTCACATTAGCTACCACTTGATGCTGGGGACTAAATCTGGGACCTTCTGTATTGATTAACTATTTATTTACATTATTTACAGTCCCCCTTTCTTGATGAGACTCCAGGTGGATTATGTTAACATCCAATAGTCAATGTAATAGAATTAGGAAGCAGAAATTGAAATCAATGAAAAAAAGCTGGAACAAAGCTGAAACAAATGCAAAGCATTTGCTCTACCCTTGAGCCACAGGTCCTCTTCCAGTTTGGGAGAACCAGATGGAATTAGAGTAGGGGCCCATGAGGGACTGCAGACAGGCTGGGCAGAGGAAGAAAACTGGTTCCTTCCCCTCCCCAAGTGAGTACCTTAATATAGCAGGTGATGGAGCCTTGAGCATGCTGGTACTACATACTTACATTCTAGGGATGAGGAGCTGGGCCTTCTCAGGATTCCCCCCTTCAAAAAAAAAAACACAAAACTTTTCTGCCCAAACACCAACCAAAAGAAAATCAAGACCTATATAATCAATTGTACTCCTCTATAATGTTCACATATATTAGTTTACTGAAATGGGCTCTAGACCATGAAAGCACATGCCAGAGTAAAAAATTGTTTGGTCTTTAATGTACCACAGGACTCTTTATTTATTTTGGTATACTCAGGGCTTTTTTGTAGAAAAAGCCTAGCAGGAACTTATTAGCATAATAGGCCACACCCAACAACAGAAACTCATTAGCATATTAGGTCACACCCTGGTGCAGCTCATTAGCATATTAGGCCACACCCCATACCTTCCCTTGACTTGCCTAGGCGCCCCTCGGCTGTGGGGAACCCGGGCAAGCCAGCCCTTGGAGGGGAGGGGGTACAGTTTTAACTGCCTTCCCTTGGCTTGCCCGGGTGCCCCATGGCTGCGGGGAGCCCGGGCAAGCCGGCCAAAGGCTGGGGAAGGCACAGGAAGGCATTTAAATGCCTCCTGGATCCTTCCAGTGGCCCCGCCTCAGAGTCACTGGGGGGGGGGGTCACTCGCAAGCAGAGGTTTTGGCTGTAGTGGGTGTGGCCAACTCTGAAGCCAGCCAGAACTCCGTTCCAGTGCGTTCCTGCCCAAAAATAGCCCTGGATACTGCTTTTCCTTTCCTGAAATTGGGGGGGGGGGGGGGGAGACAGCCCTGCATGTTTACCCAAAACTAACTCCTACTGCGTCCAATGCATTCTACTTGCTCCCAGGTAAAGTGGTAGAGGAGTGTGATTTTACACCACCTTTTTGTAGCATCTTGGAGAGCAACCCTAAGCATCTCTATTTGGAGAAGAAGTCCCATTTTACTCAATAGGGCTTACTCCCAAAAAAGCATTCTTAGGATTGCTGCCTTAAAGTCTTAAGAGTGGAATCCTACACAAGTTTACTGGAGGTTATGTAAACGAAACAACTCAACTGGTTGGAATCGAGGCGTGGTGGTAGAGAGTCTGCAGATACAGACCTCTCTCGGGGAAAACAACGGAGGGGCTGGATTTTGAGGGGGGGAAAGACCGAGGAAGTAGTTACGACGCCTCTTACACTGAGCCTCCCGCGGCTGCCTTTCATTAAAGCAACAACACGCCGGGGAAACTGTCACGCGCATCCGCCCCATAACGCCCAAGTGTCTGAGGAGCGGAAGTTTGGAGCAAAACACCCGGCGCGTCTCCTCCCGCGGAAGGCAAGAAGGCTTGACCCCGTTTTTGGTCCCCCCAGTGCGCCCCACCCCCTTATTTATATGCGCCTACTGCTCAACCAATCGGCAACGACACTTTATGACTGTGGAATGAGAGGCGCCCGGCCATTGCGAAGCCGCCCGGGTGACAGCAGCGAGTGCGGGCCGACGGGTGGGCGTTGGCTGGCGCGGGATGGCGGCGGCCGCCTTGTACTTGGAGCACTACCTGGACAGTGAGTGACTACGGCGCTTTTGGGGACGCGTTGGCTGGTCGGGGGTGGGGGGGAGAGGGCACGCCAGCAATTGCATTTGCGTCAGAGACCCGGTGGGGGGGGGCACGAGCGAGGTTTCGTGCTGCGTCATTATTACGCGTAAGGACGGGTCGCAGCGCCGCGAGCGGGTGGCTGAAGGTGCAGCTGCTGTCTTCGGCCACTAGAGGCCACTTCTGACCTGCTGTCAGTCGTACCGCCCGTCCTAGGCAGTCGTAAACAGATCCGCTTCCCAGGCCGTTGGCTTACCACTGAGGGCTGCCACTTTTCTTCTGGCACAGTTCCTACTCCTTTTAGCAGGTGTGTGGCCTGTAAACAGTCGAGGTGTGTGTGAGAGCGCTTCGACGAGGTGGGTGGGGATGGATCGTGTTTTTTCTCGTGTTCCACACCATGGGTTAGTGTCTTGCAACAGTTGCAATTCTCCGAACTGCATCAGAAGGGTCCCTCCTAACGCTGCCATTCCATGCCTGATAAAAATGAGCAAACATAGAACATGCTGTTACCAAATGTATTTATTTATTTTCGCATCTATATCCAGCCCATCCCTTAAACACGCTCAGAGCGAGTTACAACATTTTAATAAATACAATAAAATTTAAAACACATTAAAACATAAAATCAGTAGTCATGCTTGCCGTAGGGAGAATCCGGCCCATTGATGTAACTGGGTATGGCCGGTTATCTGAAGGTGGTTATCTGAAGGTGGGAGATCACAACTTGGGGGGGGGGCATATGTGGATGCCCACTGCCTCAGCCAAAGGCCTGGCAGAACAGCTCCGTCTTGCAGGCCCTGTGGCATTGCATAAGATCCCGCAGGGGCCTGATCTCAATAGGGAGCATGTTCCACCAGGTGGGGGCCAAGGCAGAAAAAGCCCAGGCTAGGCAGACGTCCTTTGGGCCAGGGATCACCAGGAGATGACTTTCAGAGCGAAATGCTCTCTGAGGGGTATATGGCTTAGGCGGTCCCTTAGGTATGTTGGTCCCAAGCTGTATAATTACCAACACCTTGAAGCAAATCCAGTACTCAACCGGCAACCAATGCAGCTGACAGAGCACATGCCGACGTGGGCCTGCTGCACAGGCGTTGATGTCAGCAGGCGTGCCGCTGCCTTTTTTACCAGCTGTAATTTCCAGATCAGCTTCAAGGGTAAGCCTGCATAGAGCGAGTTGCAGTAATCAAGCCTGGAAGTGATCATTGCATGGGTCACCGTCAGTGTTCCCTCTAAGCTGAGTTAGTGTGAGCTAGCACGCAGTTTTTTATCCTCCGGCTCACACATTTTTGCCTTAGCCCAGGAAGGATGGCTCCAGAGCAAACTAATTGATGCTGTAGCCAAATGGCTTGCTCACAACTTTAATGCCCGTAGCTCACAAAGTAGAATTTTTGCTCACAAGACTCCACAGCTTAGAGGGAACATTGGTCACCGTAGCTAAGTCCTGGGGGGAGAGAGAGGGCTTCAGTATCCTGATCCGCCTAAGATGGAAAAATGCAGATCTGGCAACTGCAGCAACCTGGGCCTCCATAGATAAGGAGGTATCCAGTGTTACTCCCAGGCTCCTCACCGACTGGGCCGGCACCAGAGGTGTCCCGGTGTGGGAAGCCTGGTGCCCACCTCCAAACCCCCATGACCCAGGTACAGGACCTCCATCTTTGACGGATTTAACTTCAGTTGACTCTACCGCAACCATCCAGCCACAGCATCCAAAGCCTCATCCAAATTTCCAGGAACGGAGGATGGATGACCATCCATTAGCAGATAAATGCAGGATTAGAAAGTGCTGACTGCACAGTTCAATGTGCAGAGGTATTCAAATAGTGAGAAAGCTCCTTCCCCTTCTTGAATACAGAGTGAAAAAAAAGTTCCTTGCAGTGGCATCCTAAGCAGAGTTATGCCTTTCTCAGTTCCTTGACTTCAACAGCATTCTCAGGTCCTTGACTTCAACAGCATTAAAAGGTGTAACTCAGGGTGGCACTGCCAGCCTTTACATGTGCTGGGCTTTAGGCCATCATCAGGATGTCATGTGCTCCCTGATGGCCTGTTCCAGACTCATAAGAATTTTCTACTTTGCACAGAGAGGATATTTAAGAAAGGTGCTGAGGTTGGTGGTGGACCACCACACCAGAGGTCCTAGGCAGAACAGATTTTCTTGGGACCCAGCAATATCTGCTTCCCAGTTTTTGGTGCCAGTACTGAGCCAGGGATATTAGCTGGTTCAGAAAACCATATGCAGTGTAAGGAGCAAGTGGCTAGCAGCGGCTGACATGATTATATGTTTTTTGTAAGCTATAGTTGGTTAGATATTTTGTATTTACCGTAGGTGTTCTGCTTTTGCATTTCAGGCATTGAAAACCTCCCCTGTGAGCTCCAGAGAAACTTCCAACTTATGCGTGAACTGGATCAGAGAACAGAAGGTGTGTTAAACGTCTTGGGTCACAAATCTTACGTGTAATGCTGTGCTGTACTCAAATTAAGAGTTGCACAGAGCTGAATGAATAGGCATTACCCAATTTGTTTTTCAAAGCAAAAGTGAGAAGTAGCCAATAGCCAAGGTCCTTCACCTCCCGGCCCAGTCATTCCCATGCAGTTTGAGCATGAGAGAGAACAAGCCTAACTGAGGAGTGTTTTCAGCTTGAGTTGTCTGCCAAAGTTTGACATGACAGCATGACTTAATTCTGGCTCAGTTTTTAAGTCAGAGACAGTTATGCTAAAGATGTGGATTTGCAAGTAGACATGGGTCCACGACCAACAGTACTAACTTTATTATATTACCGAGCAGCCAGAATTGTGGTACTGAAAATGTTCTGTAGCCTTCAATCCTATGCAAGGATTTTGTGTGCTTGCTAAAGAGGTCACTGCTGGTCAGCTGAGGAGCTCAGGAGACAGGGTAAGATTTTAGAAGCGTATTAAAATGCTACACAGAGCAATAACAATAAGCCAGCAATCAGCTGATCTGGAGTAGTGGTTAGGGTGTTGGAGTAGATTGTTGTGAGGATGAAATGAGGAGGAATAACTATGTATGCTACCCTGCACTCCTTAGAAGAAGTGTGAGATAATAATGGGTGGATAGATAATTAAAATGTGTAATGCAAATGAGTTTTCAAATAATCAGGGGGGGTGAAATTACCACAGTCAGAGTCAAAGTAAAAATTATATTCAAAATTAGAGACTCAGAAGGGGAAAAGAAAAAATAGCAATACAACAGTCAACAAAAAGCTTCAGTAAAGTGAAGCATTTTTATTAGGCAGTGGAAACTTAGATGATTTTGTACCAAGTAGATAGCTGCCAGGTGGGAGTTCCATAGTCAAGGAGCCAGAACAGAAAAGGTCCACCCACCTGATTCACCCAGCAGAGGCACACACAACTGGCCCTCTGTAGATGCTCTTAATTTATGGTCAGGTTCATACAGCCCCATAGCCAGGATTTTTTTCAAAGGTTAGCACCGAGGGGAGGGGCTCTCTTTCAAGATGCTCCCAAGCTCATGGAAGGACTAAACCCAGGGAGCAGGGGCTGGGAGAGATCTTGGCGGTGCTGATTTGAAACAAGGTCAGTGCTGGGCCTCAAACTGACTCCCCACCCCCACCCCCACGTGGTTCTCTGACCCTGGAATCAGCCAGGAAGGGAATGGGGTGGAGATGTGCACACTGCCGGACCATGCAGTCCTCACTCACCTCTACCATGTGCAAGTGGGGCTTGCATTTGTGCAGGGACTGCAAGACTACTATCTGCCAGATAGAGTAGAGGGAAGGGATAGGGGAGGGAAGGCCAGGGGTGCATTTATATAGGAGCTGTGCCTGACATTTCTTTATAAAAATGAGTGTGTAGGTTTCTTGTTTTCTTAAGGAGGGATGTACCTCTTCTGTGTCAGATCTACACTTGTAGTTTTTATTCTGATGTGGACAGAATGCAGTTTGTACAGTCTCTTTAGTTTATAAATAAGCAGCTTTTAATATTGTTACAAAAGCCATTTTTATTGTAGTATCTGTACAAATGTAAATTTGTGGTTTAAAATCTCTGTGGAGAGATGTTTCTTTCATGGATTCCTAAAGTGTGTTCTTTTGTAAACCATGCAACATGATCCTAAATGAGTTTACTCAGAGATGTCTGATAGAAGTCAGTGAGATTTATTATCTAATCAGTGTGGTTAGAATTGCTGCTTCCCTTTCTTATGCATACCTTTTCCTTTTGCCCTTCAGACAAGAAGGCAGAAATTGACGCTCTTGCGGCCCAGTACATTTCAACAGTGAGGAATATGACCTCAGAGCAAAGGGTGGAAATCTTGCAGAAGATACAGAATGCTTACACGAAGTGTAAAGAATACAGTGATGACAAGGTGCAACTGGCAATGCAGACATATGAGATGGTATGACTAGACAGATGAAGTATTTGTGCGTTGCAATGAATAAGTAATCCTCTGTGCTTTCAACTTTTCTCATGTCTACTGTTGAAACTTGTGTCACAAAGAAGAGTCTTTTTGCATATCAAGTAGCCGTAGGCTGACAAGGGAATGGGTGTTCCATTAGGCAGGCTAACACTATAAATTCTCTTCTTCCCCCCCACCCCCCAAAAAAACCCCCTCCTGGATTGGTCTGGACTTGTGCTCTGTACAAGGTTGTGATCTTTCCCTGTTTCATCGTTTACTGTCTGGTAGCAACAGGGCAAAAACAGACATTAAAAGTAGAATGTCAGATATTGCCAACCAATTGGATTTGCAGGCTGCAGATTTATCAGAATCCAAAGCTACATTCTCTAAAATGAGCTTATTATGACTATTATGTTAAAGATATTAGTAAACTGGTGGCAGGCAGTTCTAAACCCTTGACTGCTTTGAGGTTCCAGATGATGAAATTCCTATTTCTAGAGGTTGGATGCAGTGAATCTACCTATGGATTTGTGCCTCTATATATATGTGTGTGTGTGTGTGTGTGTGTGTGTGTGTGTGTGTGTGTGTGTGTGTGTGTGTAGGGGTGGTACAAGAGGTGCTCATCAAGTTGTTGAAGGTTTCAAATTGGGAGAGGTATCCACAGGGCAATACAATGTAGCCCTAAGCTCAGTTACACCCGTCTAAGCCTATGGATTTAGCAGTTATACTCTTCTTAGAACTGCACTGATACAGACCTTATTGGTTGTAGAGAAAAGCAGTTTGTGTGTAGGGAAGCTGGCTCCCTGCTCTCCTCTCTCTCCAGTAGAAACTGCCTATAAGAGATATTTGTAGTAGTCATGGAATCTCTGCACAGTCAGCTAGCAGCCAAGGCTAATATCCCTCCTACTGGCTTTTGGTTAGTATAGGCAAGTTGGCAGGTATATAGAGGTGATTAATACAAGAGAAGGTGTCCAGTGGGAAAGTGTCTAGTGAAGGTGTCTGGTGATTAATACAGGAGAAGGTGTCTAGTGAGTATGTAGGGGTGATTAATATAAGAGAAGGTGTATAGTGGGAAGGTGTCTAGTGAAGGTGTCTAGTCTAGCTGTGAATCTCATGGCTACCAGAAGTTGTTTTTGAGGATTTTATGCAGCTGGTGGTTTCTATCTAATGTAGGTAGACAAGCACATTCGCCGCCTGGATGCTGACTTGGCACGATTTGAAGCTGATTTGAAGGATAAGCTGGAAGGCAGTGATTTTGAAATCCCTGGAATGCAAAATCTGAAAAGTGAGTACATTATGACTAGTATGGTCTCATATTGAGGAATCCGTTCTGACCGGAAATATTTTTATGATGCATGTACCCTATGTTTCTTTTCCAGTAGAATTGTTTTCTAATGCTTCACAGAGAGGTTGTACTATAGAAAGCATATTTGGACCCATAGCAGGGAACAAAGGGAAAAAAATAAGGGATGTTGGACTGAAATGGGCCATAAGTTATGTTAATTCTAGCATCCATAACTTTGGCAAAAATGGGTGGTGCCCTGTACACACAACATATGTGGGGACCAATGCTTCCTCTAAGCTGTGGAGTCTTGTGAGCAAAAATTCTACTTTGTGAGCTACTGGCATTAAAGTTGTGAGCAAGTGATTTGGCTACCGCATATATGAGTTTGCTCTGGAGCCGTCATTCCTGAGCAAAGACAAAAATGTCTGAGCAGAGGCTAAAAAACTGTGTGCTAGCTCACACTAACTCAGCTTAGAGGGAACACTGGTGGGGACAGCCTGCAGGCCTTGACCCCCCGTTCATGACCAAGGATGATGGGCCATGTGCTTTCCTCTGTCCGTATATTCCTTCCACATGGGCACAATGACTGTATGCATATGAGCTGTATATGCACAGGGATATGTATATCATTTGATGAAGAACATTAAAAAGCAGCACTCCCACCTAGGATGGATCATATGTGCATATGTGGTGGTACTTCACACCAGAAAATTTTCATAAAATAAACCCAGCATTGAATCCACAATGTTGGAAGAAATGTGGAAACACAGGCTCGTATTTCCACTGTTGGTGGGAGTGCCCCGTCATTCATGCATTTTGGGAAGAGGTTCTGGGAATAATAAGTGATATTACATCGCTAGATCTACCAGCTTGTCCCAAACTGGTGCTCTTTGATAGAATGGAGGCAGTCACGGCTACTAGGGCCCAGAAAGATCTTATATCTAAACTTCTGGCAGCAGCATGTCTAACCATAGCGGCTGGATGGAAAGCCAGCTCTCCTCCCCAGATAAAAACATGGTACGACAAAACATGGGATCTATTTATCTTAGATAAGCTGACACAGATCACTCAAGTTACAGCAGCAGATACATCAAAGGCATATGAGCGATTTGTTGCAGTTTGGTCTAGGGTGCTTCAGTATATGTCAGAAAAGAACATACTTCCTTCAAAGGCTGCTTATGTCCCATGGATAAGCGTTTAGTTTTATTTCTAACCAAGCTCATAGGATACAGTACATTAGCTCGATCACCATTATAGAAGCTGGTTTTATTGCATCATTCACTAGTTCGTAGATTAGAGGGTTGCAAGAAAGGTTATTATTGTGTAAACTTGTTGGGTTCAGTGGTGTTTATAAGCTTTTGTTCGGCTTATCACTTACAGTAACGATAGATTTTTATGACATGTATGAAACTGTTGTTATGCTGTTTTGCTCTTTTTAATAAAAAATTATTTTAAAAAAATGTGCATTCACCTTGTATGTGTGTGGGTAGGTGGAATAAGCTTGCTTGGTTGCAACTGCAGATGGGGGCTAAGCTTTCTCCCCCTCTATGCCCATTGGTTCTGCCCACATATACATCATCTGTACAGTGGTAAAGTGGCTTTGAGGATGAAGGAGAAGAGTACATTAGAAGTGGGGTCCGTTTTGCTGATTTCTTTAGTATAATAAAGTCTGGAAGCATACATGTAAAAACACCATTAAGTGTCTTGTTTTACTTATTAGTGGCATTTTGAAACGGTATTGATATAAAAACATTGAGGTTGGTTTTTTCCCTTGCCATATGGGTAACCAGCAATAGTTGTCTTTCAGAGGGGCGAACTCAGAAAGATAAAAAAAGTTCCCGGGGTCGAGGCCGGCGAACATCAGAGGAAGATGCTCCAGTGAAAAAGAAACCAAAACGAAGGTACAACTTGATGGCCACAATTTACAGTTTGCCTAAGAACTGTCTCCATGATTTCATCAGCTCATGCATGAAAGTTTATGGGCTACTATTAAATAAGGGCCCAAACACTTGTTATCTATGGAAATATTATATAAATTACTGTTATTAACTTAAATAAAACATATTTTAAGTGCTAGCCAAGCCAATGTGACCCTTTTGAGGCCTCTCCTAGGTGCACAGTTTTAATTCTCAGAGTAGTTTTCCTTTAATTGTGTTCTGTGCCTTGCTTTCTCTTAGCCATAGCTGCCATATGTATTTGCTGTTGTTTTTGTTTACTACTTGAAGTGTTTATATTGAGAGTGCAGTGTTGGTACTGATGTTCGCTTTAATGAATTTCTTATCTGGGATATTTTTTGCATTTTACTAACACTGATCATTTCCCTTGCCCTATTTCTGTTGAGAACATCAATTCAATACCACTTCCTGATGAACAGGATGTGTTCTTGAAGTCTGAGTCAGGAATCTCACGTTATTATTTTGTTTTTAAATGGCAGCTTCAACAGAATTCTCTTTTCTCACTCCCTTGGGTTTTTGTTGGTTTGTGTTCAACGTCATTTCATTTGACTTTTGGCTTCTTCGTTAGCAGTCAGATCTGCTCTTCAGACTACACATGAACTCATAAGGAGTTTTAGGGAATATACTCTTTGAAACTACCAAGAGTCACTGGGATTTACTCAGTATTCATTTGTATTGATTCCACTGCAGATCTGAATTAGCTGAAACCATCCTCACTGTTCATCCTTCAGATGTCCTGGACATGCCAGTGGATCCCAATGAGCCCACATATTGCTTGTGTCACCAAGTATCCTATGGAGAAATGATTGGCTGTGACAACCCAGATGTAAGTCTTGAGATCTCAAGAGTATATCTTGGGCCGGGCCTGCTGTCACTCTTCATCCTCAGTCAAACTCCATTCCAAAATACTTCCCTCAGAAAAAAAGGATCTGTTTTTACTTAAAAGCCAGATCCTAGTTGGTGCTGTATATCTAATGCAGAATCATATGGTGAGAAAGGTATTCCAAACATTTCAGCTTTGCTCCACCTTGTCTGAGTTGCTGCAGGAAAAAAACAAAACAAGGACCTATTTGTGCTGCCATTTCAGTTCATGCTCTTCAGATGCCACCTATAGAGGTTGCCTCTGGCATTTTTCCTTCTGTGCCCTGACAGTGCCATGTACAACATTTTTATTCCATGATAGAGATGAGTGTAGCCGTGATGGACTTTGGTCAAGATCCAATGCAGGACTCACACAACCCAAAGTGTAGTGCAGGGTTCTTTACCAGCTTGGAGCTGGAACATAGGATCAGGTTGTCCATTGTATAAGTAGGATTGCAGTATGTATGTCTTCCAGAATTTGTGATTTTATTCAGCTAGGACGTGTCATGGAAAAAGTGGAGAAGGGGCAACTAAGTACCTATGTGAGGGAAAGGGGCACTGAGAGGGATGGGGAAGCAGGCAAAGCAATCCCATCCAAGTGAACAGTAAAAGCTCCTCCTTTTTTTTATATAGTTTATTTAGCTTTTTCTGTAACATATATTAACACAAAATTAGACTTGATTACATCATATTTTGGAGTTTCATTTTCCATTAACAGTAAAAGCTCCTCCTGACTTAACCAGGTTTCCAAGCTTTGGTAGAAACTACCTTTACATTTTGGAAGCCCTTATTTGCAATGAATAGTATGCAATCTTTAACTGAACTATCAAGTAAAAGTTAACTTCTATAAAGAAGTGTGTCCCATATCTTTTATCCTGGACAGTATTGGGTTTTCATTTCAGTTGGGGATGATGGGGAAGGGATGGTGGGCTCTGCCGGAAGGTGACAGTCTCTGTCCAGCGTGTAGGAATTCTGTCCATTAACTAAATGTTACATGGCAGCTCTGAGGAATGAGAACCTGGTGGCCCCTTCCCTGTTGCAAAATGGAGGGAATAATTTACATTGGGGAGAGGGTCCTGGAAGCTGTGGCAGAAGGGAGTGCTCAGACTTCCTTTAGCTTTTACCCCATCAGCATTCCAGGGTTATCCTTAGCTTGTAAACACAGGTCCAGATTCCTGTAGTAATAACAGTGGATAGATGTGTGGGGGAGTCTCAAAAGGAAAAAGGATGGCATGAGAAGAGTGTGTCTTAACAGGGAGAAGGGCATGTTGCTTTTTGTTATATGTCACTGCAGTGTACCATGTTGTTTGCTCCTTAAAGTAACAAGCAGCTGCCCACCAGCCATATTGCTAATACATCTGATAAGAAAAGTTAATGCTGTCAACCTGGATGTGCAATCTGACAAAATGGAATGTAATGCAGGTTTATCATATGCTATGATAAATGTGCTAGTGTTTAAAACTTCTGTTTAAGTTCTATATGAAAAATAGTAGTCATATTTTTTTCTCTCTTTCCCCAATACTTAGTGTCCGATTGAATGGTTTCATTTTGCTTGTGTGGATCTCACCACCAAACCCAAAGGGAAATGGTAAGTATCATGGATTTTTAAACTTTGCTCTTATTTTTCTGGGGTGTTACACTTTTGCAGATACAATGAAAATTCAGTCCTATAGTCCTGGCATTTTGAGTCAGGATTCTGTTGTTGTTGGAAGGTTTTAATCCACACCTGGAATATTTTAAAAGCTGTACACAATCAACACAATATATTTTGGAGGTGAAGAAGAACAGCTAATATGTAGATGTGTGATAGAAACTGTGATTTTAAAGAAAGAAACAAGAATTAAAACACGGCACAGGGTTGGTGGATGGTATGTGCATGGGAGGAATAGATTCTTCAGGTTGTAATTGTGAATGGTCTATGATCTCCTTTTATAGACATGAAAAAGCCACCTTCAGAATTTATTCAGCAGGCTGAGAGGACCATATTTCAGAGTTGTCTGTTATGTAGACCCTGACCACAATCCAGTCTGTTACAAGAACTTTTATACCCCATTGACTGTGCCTTAATTTTAAAAAGATGAAAATTGTTCTCCATTGTTCATTTTATGTATATGGGGGATGCACACATAAGCATTTTAGCAATTAGAAAAACTCAAAGAGCTGTCCCCAAAAATTCCCGGTTTGCAAGAAGCAACATGGGTTAGGAAGGAGGAAATGGAAGGCATCAGTTAGTCCTTCTCAAATGTGAAACACTTTCAAGATATTCTATTCTAATATGACCGAAACATTGTACTTTGCTGTCCTTAGGTATTGTCCTCGCTGTGTTCAGGAGAAGAAGAAGAAGTAGGAGAAACGATAGGAATTACAGTTTGAAAGAGAAAGTTTAATATATTTCTACATATTGCAATATTTTATTTTTACTGACCCATCTTCTTGTTTGATTTAGTATTTGACTGTTTAGTGGCCAGTTGTATTTTTGCATAAATGGAGCTGTCCTAATGAGGAAAGAAAGATTTGGAGAAAACTCACTGCCGTGATTTTGTTCCCTACTCTGGTTATGCTTCCATAGCAGTGTAACCAATGTAATGAAGTACTAAGGGGTAGCCCTGCACTGGAATTTTTGCACATACACTGAGGTCTGTGAAATCGGCTATGGAGTTGCAGGAGAAGAAAATAAATACCATTGTTGATGAAGCATAGTCATTCTGCACAACATTTTTGACGGATTTTAAAAATAACCACCTTTCCAAACCTTATAGCTGCTGACAAAGAGGTAATTGTTTTATGTTGTTGTTTTAGTGGGCAGTTTTGCTCCTTCAGAGGAAAGCTGTAAGGCAGTGGATTTTTTTTACACTATCTCAAAGAAAAATAACCTATATTGGTTAATCTTTGTTCTATGAGTGAACTTCAGGAGGTTTATATCTGTTCTCATTTTTGATTTGTACCTTTGGGCTTTATACTGTTCCCACTGAATTCATATATGATAAATAAAAAATGCTTAATAAAGGCAAGATATCTAAAAAGTGAACCTGATAGAAGTATAATCTGATTTATTCATGAAACAATACTAAAGTTTAATTTTCATTGATAAAACAGCTGTTGAAGATAAGTAATTGGGAGGATGAGTTTTAAGAAAATAGCTTTGAGAGAGATTTCTGTTATAGCATAGCAACAGAACTATCTGACATCATGTATTGTGAAATTTCTGGGCTGTGAGTTTACTGAGATGCTCTCCAGTGTAAACTGTAAAACTTGGTATCCAAGTATCTTAGTTTGGAGGCAGACAATCATGTTTTTTCCAGGTAGTTGTAAGTGGCATGTTAGAGCCATCATTACCCAAGTTGTGTACATTCAAACCACTATAATCTCTGGTCAAACAGGATGTACAGGTTTTTCAAAAACCCTACTCATTCTGTTTGGCTTGAGACATATGACTGTGGATAATGATGGCTTTTGTCAGTGTACTGTCAACTATCTTAAAACATACCAGCCTTTAGAAAGAGAGATAAGTATTTCGGTACTAAGGGCCAGTTCTTCCTGTGTTTGTATTGTGAGATGCACATGGCTTTTTGGCATATGGGCTTAACAACCAAATATAGTAGTTCTCTGGAGAGAGACAGCTATGCTAGCTATCACAGCTAGACTGTGGAGTTGGTTAAGAATGTGGTGGCTTATGTTCCTTGCAAAAAATGGAGCACAAAGGGAAGATTGAATTCTGTAGTCAACAACTGAAGCTTTAAAATAAGAAAAACTGTTTCTGAAAGGTGGTTTGCATTTTGTTATAAAAAAATAAACAGTCTGTTCTTTATATCACACTTCTTTTGCATCCAGCTGTTTAGCAGATAATGTAATTCGATTAAAGTTTTTGTTTGTATCACTTAGGTTTTCTATGGCTGCATTTTTGTTCACATGTTCAGATTTTTAATGCTGTCATAAAATGTAGGGTGGGAGAATACTCTTTGCATCAGGGTAAATATCAATACATTGTTATTTTGAAATAGCTATTAATATCGTGCATAAGCATGGAACCGAACATTATACCATCTCAATCATGATGAACAGTATAACACAGGTTATTTCCCTCTCCAGTAAGGGAGATTTCCTTTCCTAACATCTTATGCTGCACATGTTCATTTAAATTGAGTCTGTTTACTGCTGCTTAGTTTACATGAAAGTAGGTCTGCACAAATTGTGATCCATTAAACAGTATAAATCCTCTTGCTACATATTGTGGTCTTCCACATAGATACCAAAAAATTTATTGAACATATGGTGGGCCATCATAAATTATTGGTGGGTTGTGTTTGGCATGGTGGCTTGCTGTATTGGTCTGCTTAAAGTTTTCAGTCATAGGACTGCTTTTGAAAAGAAAAGAGGGTAAACCTTTTCATAAGGCCCCCCCAGTATGAATAGTTCATAAATGAGTAATGTTCCTGGCCTTGTGCCTGATAGGCAAGGCAGCATTAGTTTCTACTTTAGTATCAATTACTTTCAAGATCTATTTCCTTTTTCTTCCAGCTATGCTAAGTCTTAATTAACAGAGGTTGACACATCCCCAAGATGCGCTTCTTGATATGCAATTAATACTGCTATATAACTAGAGGAACAAGCTAGACTTACTTTACCATAAACTAAAGATAATGTCATGTATTAGACCTGAGGAATTAAATAGTTTTCCTTTTGGGAGGCTACATAATAGTAGTGAAGGTTTTTTCTTATTAAACTTGCAGCCTAGTTTCTAGAAAAATATTTTAGAATAATACTATAGTATTGGATTGAGCAATACAGATGCCACAATAGCACTACCTTTGAGGTAATTTATCAACCAGTCCATGTTGTTTTTCAGGGTTTTTAAGTCCATATTGTTTTATCAACAGTCCTGTTGATTCTGACTTATGAAGAATATGTTATCCTGAATTTTGAATGTATCTTGTTTAATAGCTTGTTAGGATTTGGAATAAAGGAGACAACTCAGTATGTTAACTTTTGTGAACGTCAGCCTGCCCCCCCTCCCCCCGTTCATATTTCAGACAGACTATGTTTCCTTTTAAATGGAAGAGACTTATTAGAAATCTTTTTATTACAAAATGTGAGATGTATATCTGTATTTTTGATTGTCATAATAGGTATATTGTTATAAATAAAGTATTTTTGGAAACAAACATGATTTTGTTTACTGTCTTTCCTATCCCCTATGAACTTTGTTAGTCCCCTGTCTAAAAGTGTAACTGTAAATCACTTTGAGCCCACTTGTGGGGAAAGTGATTAATAAATCGAAAGCATTATTATTATTATTATTATTTTCATTTTTAAACTTTCTGAGATTGTTCTAATACTTTGCTTTTATGATTTTTGAGTTTGTAATTCACTATCATGCTAAAAGTTCTCACTAGCTGCATGGGAAGGTAAGTATAGCATATAGTCCTGGATCATATAAAATGTCCAGCTGATCTCAAAATCATAATTGAGTATATAGCCATGACGGGAACCATTAAAGAATATTTTATTCTGTATAATTTTAAACCCAGAAGAACTACTATAATGGAAATGTAGCTACAGCTATCATTAGTGGTAAACTACCAAACCTTCTAAACAAGCTGCCACTGTTGTTAGACAGAACCTCTGTCCTGGTTGTGTTTGCCCAGGCCAATTTGAGAAAACACACAAAGCAGTCCTGTAGAGTAGAAGACCAAAAAATAATTTATTAATCAAGGAAGAGTACAGATCTCAATGTTTTGGAACCCTGAATACCCAACAGACAAGTGTTACAATGGGTGATGCACACAAATTGAACAAGATTATTGGTTCCATCAAACATCAGCACTCTGACCTAACAACAGGTCTCTGATTGGCAGAAAACCTTTTAGGCCGGGCTTTCCCAAGTAAAGTTTTTTTCTTTTACCTGAACAATGTTTCTTTCTCTTAGACTGTAAAATTCTAAAAGTATCTATATAGCTGATATGGTTTACAAGGTGCCATTGTTCTTCATTTAGCCAGAGACATGCACAGTTATAGCTGGCCTACCAAGGCCATAAGCCTCAGCAAAAATAGCAAGTTAACATTTTGTTCTTTCAGCATTTTACCTTCCCAGCATGCATCCCAACAGTCACAAATGAACCAAATGAATACATTCATGATGTTAGAATAATAAATGGCACTTAACATATGCACCATGGAAGTGCTAAGTGCACCCACCAAGTCAAACCTGTTCGTCAGTGGCAGAGTATAAAGTGTTTCATAAACTGTGCATGCAACAAATCCCCCATTTCTTGGTGAAGTGAAGATTTATAGTTCACTGACACCAACCGTAGCTCGTTTTACATCTCTGTTAATTCTGGCAAGCATTAGCATTCATTCAGTTATGGGGGACTGTAGGCGGTGTAATGCATGGAATACAAGTACAGAGGCTTACAATGAAAAACACAATTAAAATATGTAACAGAACAGGCTTTTGCTTAAATCCGGGACCAGAGGGTTCAGGTGCTAGAAGAGCTTTGCAAAACAACACTTTTTAAAACAGCACTTTAAGTTCATCTTGCAAATCTTCTGGGACACTGGCCGCCCCAACGTCATCTGATGCGGCTTCCTTGTTTCTTCGACTTCCATTGGGGCAGCAGTTCAGTGCAGTAAGCCTGACAGCAGTGTCACAGATTAGCAGTACCTGGAACCGGGACTGGCATTCTGAAACCTCTAATAAGATTAGTTATTTTGCTATTACACTTCTGGAACATAGAGAAGAAACAGATTAAACTGATAAAGCATCTGAACATTCTCGTTTAACATTGCATTCCTGATTTTTAGAACTGCCCCTTGCTATGACGTCTGGAAAACCTGCTATGAATAAAAAACAAAATATACTAATCTTTTCCCTGGAAAGACCCTAGTGCATGTAGGTGAGGGGCAAAGGTTTGTGTGCATGAACAGGTATTTATGGAGTTAAGCCTATCAGACAAAAGTTCTGTGGAATAGAATGAATGTGGTTCAGACAGTCTTTTTACTTTCCCTGGTTACCTGTACATCTTCTATGTACTCTGATGTGGATCTGATGTGGATTCCAATAACTTACTTGGGCTTCAGTCCTAAGAACTGTCAGTACAGGAGTATAGTGAGATGATGTACATTCTTCCAGTTTTTCCCCTCTAACCAGGTTTTCAATAACAGGTTTCAATCCTGGATGACCTTCTGTTGAAAAGGAATACTGACGGATTTGAACAGGGGATCTCCCGGGCTTGGAGCTCCCATCTTACAGGCCAGGCTTTGTTTCAGAACAGCAAATAGACAGTCGGGTTATCATGGCTTCAGACTACAGGAACAGTACATTCTTGAAGGACGCATTGTTTCTGTCAATTCCTGTAATCCGGAGAAGGAGAATCTTCTCCTTCCCAATGAGAATAAATCCTTGTTCCTCAAAAGAAAAGTTATTGAGTTAACAGAGCAGTGGCAGGATTGCTTTTAATGTTCGGAAAGTCCATTTATTGCAGGAAGAGGGGGAAAAGCAAGAGTTCAATCTTCTAGAGTACCAACCAATTGCAATACGTCTATGTAGGAAGTGGGGGAAGGGATCCAGGACAACTTGCCTGTCTCCCCACTTGAGAGTCCAAATGTAAACTAATAAGAACATGAGAGAAGCCAATGTTGGATCAGGCCAATGACCCATCCAGTCCAACACTCTTGTCACACATCAATAGTTTAGCAGCCATAATTCGAGCTGCCTGTTCCTTCTCATAACTTATCCGATTCAGGACAGCATCCCAGAATCTTTTCCAGCAACTCTTTCACCGTTTCAATTCGGGAGGTTAACTCTCATGTTATTCCCCATTCATTCATGTCCTGAAAGAGAGATAGCTGTACAGTTTTCCTTCTTACCTACAAGCAACTTTGCTCAAACCTTTGAAATAATTACTGTCCATGTTTATTCATAACAGAAGGAAGGGTATGCCTCCTTTTTCTTTCCATCATCTCTGCAAGGCAGTGATGTATTAAAATCCAGTACAGACCTTGAATGGCACCTTCCACTCCTATAAACAGATAAAGCTCAGAGAAATTGATGAGAAGGAATAAAAATGCAATGAGGCAAAAAACCAGGAAAACCAGTCTGGAGGCAAAATGCATACTTCAGGGTGCCTCCTGGCCCCCCTGGATGTTGGCATCCCACAAAACAGTTCCATCTTGTGGCTGGCATGCTAGCAGAATAAATGCTAAAGGCAAAATATTCAGATTCAAAAGAGGAAAAATATTCAGATTCAAAAGAGGCCACCACCCCGGGGCTCAGGGAGGCGGGGGAATGTTTCGCCCCCTGCCCCGCAGCCGTTGTAGCTGCTGCCGAGAGCAGCGGCAGCCATAACTTTGTTGTTGTTGTTGTGCAGTCGCACAGTCAAGTCCGACTCTTCACGACCCCATGGACCAGATCCCGCCAGGCCCTCCTGTCTTCTGCTGTCCTCTGAAGTTTGCTCAATTTCATGTTCGTTGCATCAATTACACTGTCTAACCTTCTCCGTCCCCGTCTTCTTTGACCTTCAATCTTTCCCAGCATCAGAGTCTTCTCCAGTGAGTGCTCCCTTCTCATTTGGTGGTCAAAGTATTTGAGCTTCAGTTTCATTATCTGGCCTTCCAGGGAACAGTCAGGGTTGATTTCTTTTAGGATTGACTGATTTGATCTTCTTGCAGTCCAAGGGACTCTCAAGAGTCTTCTCCAGCACCATAGTTCAAAAGAATCTATTCTTTGGCGCTCGGCCTTCCTTATAGAAGAAGAAGAAGAAGAGATTGGATTTATACCCCGCCCTTCACTTGGAGTCTCAGAGCGGCTTACAAACTCCTTTCCCTTCCCCTCCCCACAACAGACACCCTGTGAGGTGGGTGGGGCTGAGAGAACTCTGACACAAACTGCTCTTTTTCAAGGACAGCTGTGCCAGAGCTTGTGACTGACCCAAGGTCACATCAGCAGGTGCAAGTAGAGGAGTGGGGAATCAACCCCGGTTCTCCCAGATTAGAGTCCACATACTTAACCACTACACCAAACTGGCTCCAACTCTCGCAGCCATACATGACTACTGGGAATACCATTGCTTTGACCATGCGGACTTTTGTTGGCAAGGTAATGTCTCTACTTTTTACCATGCTGTTTAGGTTCGCCATCGCTTTCCTCCCAAGGAGCAGGCATCTTTTAATTTCATGGCTGCTGTCACAGTCTGCGGTGATCTGGGATCCCAGGAACGTGAAGTCTGTCACTACTTCCACGACTTCCCCTTCTATTTGCCAAGGAGTGATGGGGCCGGATGCCATGATCTTAGTTTTTTTGATGTTGAGCTTCAAGCCCACTTTTGCGCTCTCCTCTTTTACTCTGAGCAAGAGGCTCTTTAGGTCCTCTTCACTTTCTGCCATTAGAGTGGTATCGTCTGCATATCTGAGGTTGTTGATCTTTTCCCCAGCAATCTTAATTCCCGCTTGTGATTCATCCAGGCCAGCATTTCTCATGATGTACTCTGCATATATATTAAATAAGCAAGGTGACAATATACATCCTTGTCGTACTCTTTTTCCTATGCTAAACCAATCAGTTGTTCCATATCCGGTTCTAACTGTAGCTTCTTGACCCTTATACAGGTTTCTCAAAAGACATGTGAGGTGGTCTGGTACTCCCATCTCTTTAAGGACCTGCTTTTTTAAGAGCCCCTAATGAGAGCCGGGGGGAGCCAGAATGACCTCTCGCTTGTGCTGTCTGAGCCGCTTGGACATCACATGCGAGAGGTGGAATTTGCCCCTAGGAGTCCAAGGCCACCACCCCGGGTGCTCAGGGAGGCGGGGAACCTTTCGCCCTGTGAGCAGGGGTGGCCAGAACTTTTTAAAGAGCCCCTAAAGAGAACTGGGAGAGCCAGAATGACCTCTCGGACATCACCCCGGAGCTCAGGGAGGCAAAAGAACGTTTCGCCCCCGCCCCGCCCCCGTTGCAGCTGCCGCCAACAGCGGCAGCTGCCATAACTTTTTAAAGAGCCCCTAACGAGAGCTGGGGGAAAGGAAGAGGTCTTTAATACAACGTCTTTCCTTTGGTCTCCTGTTTCCTCTATTTATTATTTATCGTAAGGCAAAATTATACTCAGGAAGTATATAATAATATAAAATATGTAACCAAGTTACCAGGGGTCTTGTTGTAGAAAAAGAGCTGCCGGAGCTCATTAGCATAACTCATTAGCATAACTTATTTGCATATGCCACGCCCCCTGACATCACCGGAAGTGACAGAAGGCCACAACCCCTGACATCACCGGAAGTGTGTCAGAAGGCCCGGCTACTTACCCTCCTGCTTCATCCTCATTCCCAAACGGAATGAGGATCGAAGCAGAGGGCGGGGTAAAGAAGGGGGC